TTTTGCCAGCACAAACTCACATGTTATGGTATGTGTAAGAGCTTTTTATCTACAGTGTGTTTCCCAAGGTCATGCCATTTTGATGAAGCAGTGTCACAGTGGCTCACACCTATAATCCTAGCATTCTGGGAGGCCGAATTGGATGGACTGCTTGAGCTCACCAGTTCGATATCAGCCAGAGCAAAAGCAAGAGCCTGTCTCTACTAAAAATAGAAAAACTGGTGGCACCCGTAGCTGTGGGTAGGGCACCAGCCACATACACCGAGGCTACATCGAACCCAGCCCAGGCCAGCTAAAACAACAATGACAAGTGCAACAACAAAAAAATAGCCAGGCTTTGTGGCAGGCGCCTATAGCCCCAGCTACTTGGGAGGCTAAAGCAGGAAAATTGCTTAGGCCCAAGAGTTTGAGATTGCTGTGAGCTGTGACACCACAGCACTCTACCAAAGGTGACACAGTGCAACTCTGTCTCAAAAAAAATAAAGGCTTGGCACCTGTAGCTCAGTGGCTAGAGCAGTGGCTTCATACACCAGTGCTGGTGGGTTCGAACCCAGTCCAGGCCTGCTAAACAACAATAACAACTACAACAACAACAAAAAATAGTGGGATGTTGTGGTGGGCACCTGTAGTCCTAGCTACTCGGGAGGCTGAGGCAAGAGAATCACTTAAGCCCGAGAGTTTGAGGTTGCTATGAGCTGTAACGCCACAGCACTCTACTGAGGGTAACAGTAGAGTGTTAACTCTGGGTTTTTTTTTTTGCAGTTTTTGGCCGGGGCTGGGTTTGAACCCACCACCGCCGGCATATGTGGCTGGTGCCTTACTCCTTTGAGCCACAGGCACTGCCCCTCTTCTGTTTTTAACTCTGTCAAAAAATAAATAAATAATTCAAAAATAGTGGGCGGTGCCTGTGGCTCAAAGGAGTCTGGTGCTGGCCCCATGTGCTGGAAGTGGTGGTTCAAACCCAGCCACAGCCAAAAATAAATAAATATTAGAAAACTGAGGCAAGAGGCTAGCTAGAGCCCAAGAGTTGGAGGTGGTTGTGAGCTATGATGTCACAGCACCCTACCCAGGGCAACAGCTTATGGCTCTGGTTCTACATATATATATATTAGGGTGACCAGATTTTAACATCGGTAAGGCGAGACAACATGGCGTGGGGACAGGGGAGGGCAGGGCCTGACAACAATGCAAACTTTGATAAGCAGTTCTTCATAATCATTTCTCAGCAATTATTTGTTATTATTACAGTTTAACATAATTTTTTTTTTTTTTTTT